CATGTGCTATGTAATGCCAAAAAGAAAGAAACAAAGAAAAGATCAATCTAGATTAAAAGAAAATGATTTGAGCCTCAGGTGTGGTCTCTCAGTCAATCAGGGTGTTTACTTGTAAATCTTTCTTTTCTTCTCTTGTCRCCACTTCCTCTTCCTCTTCCTTTCCTGTGAAAGAAGTGCCAAGTGTCCCTATCCCCCCAAATGTAGAAAGCTTATAAGGTGCATCAATACATGTGATTTGTTGTAAAAGAAAAGACCAAATTGGATCTTGTCTCCCAACTGGTGCATGTTGTGTAAGTTGAATAGTGACACTACTTACCACCTCTTAATCTCATATCCCTTTTCTGGGAATGGTTTCATTCTCTCTTTGATTGCAGGTGGATCCCTCCTGTTAGTTTGGAATGRCTCTTTAACCCATCCTTTCTGAGGGATACAAAGAGGAGAGGCAGAATCATGTGGAAATGTGCAAGGGAAGCAGTAGTGTGGACAATTTGGGAGGAGAGGAACCTATGAATTTTTTAGGAGAAAGAAAGGAATAAGGAGGCAATGATTGAGACTGTTACAGTAAGAGTAGCACATTGGGTGAAGACCTTGCAATTGTTTCCAGATTTTTCACTTTAAGACTTTTTCAGAAACTGGAGATCAATTGATCATTCCTCCTCTAGGAAACAAAAAGGTCTCCCCCATGGGTTGGTGGATGAAACTCAATTTCGATGGTAGTAGCTTGGGCAATCCAGGATCGTCCAGAATTGGAGGAGTGATTCRGGATGATGATGGGAACATTTGTGGATTGTTTTCAAGGCCAAATGATCAATGTGATTCAGTGAGCAAAATTTATGGCAGCTATTGTTGGGATGCAAAAAGCCAAGGAAATGGGAATCATAAGGCTGGCTGTGGAAGGAGATTCAAAGATAGTCATTGGATGGCTAAATAAAGAAGGGGATTATGGAAATTTAGGAATGAATTCAAACGGTTCAAATTGCTGTCAAGACATATGTATATTCAAGCAAGATGGGTTAGAAGGTCTCCAACTGGTTTGGGCCGTTTGGCAGATGGACTTTCTAAGCAAGGAATACATAGACATCATTGACATCATTTGTACAGGGCCCAATTTTAATAGGGTGATGGGATTCTTATTGTAATGGGTTTTAGTTCTAACAACCTCTTGTTGTAATTTATTTTCCATTAAATTTTAATAAAAATTCTGTGTTTCTGATCAAAAAAAAAAAAAAAAAGAATCATCTAAGCCTCCCCTAACGACCTCTATAAATCCCAGATAACTCCTAACAAGCCCAGATTTCCGAGTAAGAACACAACATAGTTCAGTGAGCCTCAGAATATGGCAATCATGCTCATTTCGAGCAGAGTTGAAAGTCAAAATCATCACGAAGGCAAGTAAAATTGAAGTGTATCAGGCTCATACAACTAAACAGAGTGCTTAGGACCAGCAAGGAATCTTAAACACATAAATTAATCATACAGACAATTCAGAACTTGCAGCCAGTGTTTTTAATTGTGACCTAAGAAAATGAAGGATCTTTATTCCATGAAACATCTATTGTTCTTTGCACTTAAAGAATAGTATAATTTGGAAGTAGGCGTGGCATAATAAAGAATTGATATACACAGGCAACTCAATCTCACAAAGCTTTACATTTCTTTGCTTCTCCTCAAATGACATTTTAACGAATTTTAGTTAATTATCGATTTGAGAAGTCAAACTTGACCCGCAGAACAACAAGCAGTGAAAGAAGAATAACTAATAAAGTGAAGCATTTCAATTTAGTAAAATCATTTATGGAACTCTCACACATTCTCATGCTGAACAACTTTATAGCCCACTACAGATAAAACAAAACAAAACAAGAAGTTCCAAATTGATTGAATGAAACAGTTAAGGCTTTATTGAACTACATGAGCTTCATTTATCAACACGAGTTCTCCCCTGCCTTGATCAAGATCGACCGAACAGCTTAAGACCCATCAAAAGAAATACACTAACAAGAAAAGGGTGGAGCCAATTAACCGTACCCAAATCACCAATTACTCGGATTCCTCCGCGGAGAGAGCGATCTTCTGGTTCTCGAGGCGTTCCAGGGCTTTCTTGTGCGCCCAAGTCTCGATGGTGAAATCGGGCTTAGCATTGAGGCCGACGCCGAGGATGACGATGGTGAGGAAACCGGTGATGTAGTAAGGGAGCTCCCAGTCCTCCCATTTTCTGGACTGTCCTGGTGGAGGAGGGGTTCGATTGAAAAGGTAACCGTTGGGTCGTTCTTGGTGCCCGGGGCTTGTCCATCGGCTTGGCCCTTCTCCCCCGCCTCCCCTTGTACGGAGCGACGGCTTGAGACGACTTCTGAGCATTCCTGAAGCGGCAATGAAGCCCCTAGACGAGGACATGTTTCTCTTGCACTGAGGAGAGAGAAACAGAGGGAGATCAGAAGGAGGCGAGTTCGGCTGCTTTTGGTTGTTTCTTTGCTTGCTTTGGACCCCAGTCCCCGGACCCGGAGATGGAAGGAGTCTTTGGTGATTGCACAGTGTTTTTTAGGGTCATTTACTTAAACACCCCTATAGGTTCACCTATTTACCAAAATCTACACTCTAGTTTGTATCTTATTAAAACACCTTATTCAACCCTCTCTCAACAATTTGTTTTGGATAAATTTCTTAAACTAAACTATCTTTATTGTTTTTGACAATTGATTAATACTTCCCTTACTATTTATGTTCCGTCATAAACCATTCAAATGTGTATCAGGTGACTGTTATAACTTCCAAAAGTACTCAATTTACCCTTATTATAACTTCCAACATTGGCATCGGCATCKATTCCGACGGAATATCTCATTGTCCTCTCTAGCACCAACATTGGCATCTCCGACACTGGCATCTATTACTCAGGGTTGGGAATGGACAGCCAACGTCGCTAGAGGTTTGAAACGAGCATCACATAACGGCGTTGGTTTAGAACAGCGTCTTCGACACTGGCACCGTCTAGGATTGTCAACACCCGATTTTTGCTCAGTCTGCCTCCTGTACCCCAATTTACCCCCAAACACCCAACTAGACCCATCCGACCTCTCTGAAACACCTAAAAACCCAACTTTCAGCCCCAAAACCCTCAGATCCACCATTAAACCTACACAATACCTATCCGATGACCCCTGTCAATCCCCATCAATACCTTAACCATTAGATCCGACACAATCATCATACTTAGAAGCTCCCAAGACACCTACCCATGAAATTTGAACTCAAAATTCCTTTGCTCTCCCATTCATCAAACAAAGATTCAATTTTGACATTTCTCGTTAGCTCAAACACTTAGAACCCAAATTCCCTTGATCTTGACACATCTGAACCAATCAAACCATACCATTAAACTCTGGATACATCAAAATACCTGCCCATAAAGTTTCAACCCTAGATTCCCCCATTCACCCTTCCATCAAACCAAAATTCCGTTATGAATCATCTTGTTAACCCAAATTCCTACAACCTTGACCCCCCAAGACTAATCAGACCTCACCCTCATATCCTAGACACCTCCAAATACCCCGTGAAATTTGATCCAAAACAAACCTTGTTTACCCCTCAATCACACAAAGATCATATTTCAAGCCCCTAGATTGACTAAATCGAACCCTATCCAGCTTTGATTAATTCAAGCCCAATTGGGCCAATCTGACCCCACCAATCAATTCAGAATGCACAAAAACCCCGCCTCGTGAAATTTCATTCCAAGCTACCCCCATTTGCCTCTTCATCTAAAAAGATTTTGTTTCGACCAATCTCACTGACCCTCATACGCAAAACCCCCCATTACAGCATCTCAACCCTCCATTTTTACCCAAAATCTTATCCATTCATCCAAAACCTGATTTGACCACCTTTTGACTCGGTTTGACGATTTTTTTAAATTACAAAAATACCCCTAGATATCCCCAAATTTACAAAACCATCCCTGCCTCCCATATAAATTCAACCTAAGTTATCCATTCGCCCTAAGACACTATTCATTCGGTTCTCCCTTCTTCCCCATTCACAAAGAAGAGAGGCAACGCGGCGGCAGCTCGGCGAGAGAACTCTCCATTCGCCTCTCTCTCTCTCTCTCTCTTCTCTCCTCCTCCTACTCCTCCTCCTCCTCCTCCTCCTCTTCTTCTTCTTCTTCTTCTTCTTCTTCTTCTTCTTCTTCTTCTTTGTGCCATTTCCGCCACGGCATATTCGAAATCAGTAGCCATCTCCTCTCCTACCTCTCCAGTTTTCGTCGCTGCCCCTGCAAGCGGCAGATCTCATCCGCCTCCATCCTCTCTCTTCTCTCTTTCCTATGTGAATTAAAATTTGTATAGCAGTAGCAGTGGCAGAGCACTGGTCATGGTTGGCATCCCCATCTTCTACCAGATTCGATGATAGATCGACATCTCCCCTGTTCCACGAGCTTCATTTCTAGTCCAAGAAATCTCAGAAGTCTCCGCTAGTCCATCCACACTAGAAGGAGTTGCTCGACCTCAATAATCTCCGATCATCAACTGCAAGCACACCGAACTCATCTGAATCTCCCCTGTTACAACATCCAATCACTAGTGAATTTTGATTCTGTGGTCGGTGAAGAAGCCATAATCGTAGCAGATCTGCCTTTCCGTGTTCTCTATTTGTAGTAGTCGGTTTTAGGCCAAAATCCCAATTTAGGTAATACCATTCTTGCTCTGCTTCTGGTCCTTTTTTTCTTTGTTTTGTGGTATAATCGATAAATGCATCTACAACTGCTGGGAGGAGAATGATTGGGTTGATTCAGCCCTTGTAATTCCTAGTACCAGCCAAGATATGTTGTTTTTTGTAGCATTTAGATTGTTATATTCTTTTAGATCCATCTTATGTTTTAGAATAGGAATCTCTTTACTTTTCCGGYATGCAATTAGCGTATTATCTTAATGGTCTTGCTAGCTTAGGAATTAATTTTTTTAGTTCATAATGTTGTGATTTGCTCATGTTGCTTCTTTTGTAAATGAATCTGGAATCATGTGCTAGGTAAATCTTGCTTCTTGAGTTCATGATATAATGTTGCTTCTTTATTGTTGATTTTATGACAAGGTTAGTTACCCCGCGTTCAATCTTGCATCTTATGTTTATTATTGTTTTGTTTAATTAATTGCATACTTGGTATTTGTGTTTGTTTAGATTTCCATGTGGGCCCCACTTATTAGGCCCAAGAGAGGGGTGCTTAACCCCTTCCCTCTCCCATCTCGCACCAATCCGGACTGGTTTAGTTAGTGCCTTGAGTTATTGGAATCACTATTAAGATAAACGGTTTTAAAATCATTATCAAAGGTCCCATCACTTCCATTTCCTAATTTGATAAGTGGTGATTTCATTTTCAACCCAAGTGGCAAGTGAATTGTTTTTCCAACTCTCACAAGGATTAAGGAGCTTTTGAATTTAGGCACCAATGTGAATTTCAAGGACATTGATGGATAGATGGCATTGGACCCATGAAGCTGGGGATGCCAGAGAAGAGGTCTTATGTTCTAAAACTCAAACGAACCGAGGAAGATAGTGATGTCGAAGCACCTTGTTGGAGCGCCGAGATGGTGGGAGTTGCTACAATGACAATAATTTGGATTTAACACCTCTTTCTATGTATCAAACTGCATTAATTAACTCAAAATTTAATGCACAATGAATCGGACGCAGGGGAAGCCAAAGCTAAACCATAAGGTTTACAAGGTTCTAAGAGAGAGCTTTGATTTTACAACCATCTTTAGACCATTCTTTTGATTAATTCAAAATTTAATGCACAAGATAGAGCGCTCTAAATTTTGTCTTTGTTTTTCCAACTATGGTTGTAAATTTTGAGTTAGCCCTGTAAACCTTTAGTGGGTTTGAAGGTTTTATTTTGAAATTTGAATAAGAATAAAAGGTAAAATAGTCATCTTTGTCTTTCTATTAACAAATGCTAACGGTAAATGAAGTATTAGTCAATTGTCAAAAACAGTAGAGGTAGTGTTGGTCAATTTTCAAACAATAAGGGTACATTTGGTCAATTAGCTAAACCACAAGGGTAGTTTAAGAAATTTACCCATTTGTTTTCCATTTGGCTTTGGGAATGCCACTCAGCTCTCATGGCATCTATCCACTTATGTGAATCTATGTTCAACATAACTTCTGCGTAAGTTACGGGATCCTCCTCAATAGTCAATGCTTTCACCAAGTAACTATCATGGTCATAACCATAACGGACTGGTGACCTGGATACCTGGGTAGATCTTCTAAGTTGGTCACTACCTGGAACATGTGGGACATCTCCCACTACTCCTAAGCTCTTCTCATCAAGAACAATTTCCTAACGATGATTGTTTAGGATGTAATCCTCTTCCATAGAGTTTTTGGGGTAACCTACAAATAGGCAACGGCTGGTTCGGGATTCCAATTTGTCCGGACTCGTTCTTTTAATGTGTGTCGGACAACCCCAAATCTTCAAGTGTTTGACACTTGGTTTCTTTTCGCTCCAAAGTTCATATGGAGTACTCGGAACCGATTTGGTTAGAACCCTATTCAACACGTAAATCGCAGTCTCTAATGCGTATCCCCAAAAGGATGTGGGTAACTTCGAGTGTGTGAGAAGTGACCGGACCATATCAAGTAAGGTCATATTCTTCCTCTCTAAAACATTGTTAAATTGTGGTGTAGTAGGATAAGCTAACTGTGATACTATCCCGTTGACCTTTAGGTAGTCCTTGAATTCATCAGAGAGATACTTGCCACCTTGATCGAATCGAAAGGTCTTAATTTCTCTCCCCAATTGTTTCTCGACCTCTTGTCTAAACTCCTTAAACTTTTCAAAGGATTCAGACTTGTGTCTCATTAGGTATACGTAACCATACTGCAAATAATCATCGGTGAAGGTGATGAAGTATACGTGTTGGTTACGACTCCTAACATTCAGGGGCCCGCATATATCACTATGTATGAGGTCAAGCGTGCCCGTGCATCTTTCAGGCTTGCCGTCGAATGAAGGCAAGATTCACAGGTGGGAAAATCTTCTACGGTTAGAAAATCCAAAGGACCATCAATTATCAACATTGTGATTCGGTCAATACCGATATGGCCAAGATGGTAATGCCACAGGCACGTGGGACTAACGGTATCACGAGTTCTCTTGGGAACGTTAACCGACGTAGTTTCGACTATGTTGGTTTCTAGAGAATGATGCAGAACATAGAGACCGTTCTCCAGTTCCCCGTATGCGATGAATTTGTTGTTTCTTTTAATAGTAATCGTATTACTAAAAAAAACAGAATATCCATCAACACACAGTTTTGAGACATAAATTAAATTTCTTCTTAAATTTTGTACATAAAGACAATCTATAAGTACAAGTGATCATTCTCTAAAAAACAATTCTACGGTTCTAATGGCCGCAGCTGCAACGCTTGCATAAATTCCTAAGAAGAGCGTCACTTCTCCCTCACTCAGTCTTCTGCTTATTCTGAAACCCTGCAATGTGTTACATGCATAAGTCGAAGCCCCGGAGTCAATACACCAAGAAGCAGAAGTAACCAACAAATTGATTTCTATGACACAGGATTCGGGATTACCTTTCGTAGATTCCAGGTAGGCAGGGCAGTTCCTTCTTCAGTAGCTGGTCTGGTGACAATGGTGACAGGCGTCGGATGCCCTGTCCTTCTTCTGTTTCTTGGATTTGTTGCCCTTTTTCTGAGGCTTCTTCTTCGACCTCCTCTTTTTGCCACGTTTGCCAATTTCCATAAGCATGGCCATAGGCTCATCCTTACGAGTCAGTTCTTCAGCCCGTTACAACATATTGTTGAGCTCTTGTAAACTGACGTTCAGCTTATTCATGTTATAATTCATGATAAACTGATTGTAGGACAGAGGAAAAGAATTCAGAATGGCGTCTACTTTGGTGATGTGGTCTAGCCCAGACCCTAGGGCTTCCAACTCGTTTATGTATCCCATCATCCGAAGACAATGGTCATGCACTTGTTGTCCCTTAGTCATTTGAGCGGTCATGAACCGCTTCAAGACCTTCTGTCGAGTAGAACGATTCTGCTATTCATGCATAGTTTTCAGACTGTTCAATATGTCTTTGGCCAGTTCGATCTGATCGAGCTGCCTCTGTATTGGATTGTCTAGAGAAACTATGATATAGCAGCGGGCTAGGGAGTTCTTTTCCTCCCACTCAAGGTAGTCCCTTCTGTGGGCCTCAGAAGCCCGTTCACCCGAACGCTCTGGGGCAGGGTTTTTGGCAACTTTATCTAATTTTTCAGAAGTTAGTACCAGTATGAGGTTACAATACCAGATAACGTAATTAGGGCCTTTAAGTTTGTTGTCGTCAAGAAGCTTGGCGAATTGTCCGTTAGTCATTTTCTGGTAAAATAGCAAGGCATTAGTCCACAACCTAATTTGATTCATGTCATCTACATAGATATGGCTTTTAATTTATGTCCCATTTCCATTTGTTCATCACCGGGATTTCCCTCCTATCTCAGTGACGGAGACAACAACAATTATGTCTCTTGGAAATGTGGGAAATCACAYAGGATGCATGGAACCAACTGTTTCAGTTGCATAACCCCACCACCTTTCTGTGAAGGATCATATCCACTCATCACATGAGCTTTCCCTTTGGCCTCTATCAGACAAGGTTCATAGCCGTTTACGGGTAAACCTTTCTGTTCAGTGAGTACTCACCCATCATATTCGACCACGCCAAGGTATCGTGAGAGAGTTCTCATTTTCTGGTGAAGCCCCTCCCACATCGGTCTATAACGTCCCTATCATCATATGAAACAATCCAACAAATCCAGCAGCAAATCGGTTGGCCCATTTTCTAGTGCTTCCCCTCATCACTTGAAGGACCCGTCTTCATGCTAATAACGGAAGGCCTTTAGAGAGTCCATCATATGGATCTCCCTATCACATGCACTCATATTTCAGGAGGGAACAAGTTACGCCCTAGTTTTAGGTCAAACCTGAGTGGTTCCCACTGGCTTTCACAAAGCCAGATTTCTGGTGGCCCAAATCGGCTAAGGTTTCCGCACATATATTCTTCAAGAGGTGTGGGGCCCACCACTAAGGGAGGTCATCCAATGACCAACAAGGACACCATGGCAATGATGTGCATTCAACCATGGTGTGCGCAAGAACCATTATCGAATCAGCATGTGCCAAGCACTTATGGCCCATGAACGTAGCACATCACACATTCATACATCACATGCAGGAAGAATTGATCAAATCAATTAATATCTGTAAAGCCATTTTAAAGCCCATAATATTAACCATCTAGGTATATGGGCCGAAATTAGGGTTGATCAATTCGGTTCATATAGCTTTATCTGCGAAGTGGGCTTTTAGTAGTTTTAACAATTTAAAACCGGGCCTTTACAGGTTGGGCCGAATTAAACTTTCAATTAATTATCAATCCTTAGGCAGGCCCATTAGAGGGAGAAATAGGCTGGCATTCAGCCTTGATCAAACCCTAGATTCGGTCCAACCAGTTTGGACCAATCTAGTTCGAATGGGTGTAGGGTTTGATCTTTAATTAAAGATTTAATTCATGAAATTAATCTGAAATTAAACACTTATAAAAGAAAACCAAGAATCAATCAGATATGGTTGTTTGCACAATCCATACTACAAAACAGAGGTTAGATCACAGTTCGCAGTTT